TATGCTTTTGATATCAAATTGATTCCATGGATTCCTTCATTATGCTTTTGATATCAAATTGATTCCATGGATTCCTTCATTATGCTTTTGATATCAAATTGATTCCACGGATTCCGGGTTTTGGTTAAAATAAGAGTTGTTTGTTTAATTATTTCAAAACGTTATAATCGTAGAAAAGTCAGCAGTCAATATTCTCAAATTTAAGGTACAAAAGGTTGATAAAAAATGTATAGTTGTATTTTAAATATTTACTAAACTTACAACATTTTCCTGAATTTCGTGGTTTATTTTACTTCCGATATTATATCACAAGCGGTCATAAAATTTATTGTTTGCAATCTAACTTCACTTAGATTTTTACCACACAAATATAAGCTTGAGAACTTATATCGCTAGAATTCGGAGTTTGATCCGTGCGACAGACACGGTGCACTCGGTCGATTGTGCAGCAAATAAAGAAAGTCTAACATTTTCAAGAAAGAATTATCCTGGCTATTTTACTCGTCACAAAAAGCGTCAAACATTAAATTTTGTAAGGGGCAAAAATTAGATTAACACATGAACGAAGCAACTCGAAAGACGCACAATTTCTAATCTCGCACGTCAAGGGAAACAACATTGTTAACCTTTCTGATAAACCACTTATGTGTATTGCATGAAATATCTGATGTATCACACGTTATTCTTCTAAATAACGTACATCTATTTTGATTTAGGCGTTCGACAATAAATTAAAATCTTGCTTTTCGCTCCTATCAAAATATAAACACTATTATTTACTAACATCCCAAGGAAAGTGCTCGACACTTAGACAGACTGCTCCTATATTTCTCCTTTGTTAATAATGAAAATGTTCTTAGTGGCACTACAAATCAATTTGGTTTTTTTTATTGTTTTTTGTAATCTCTGAATTTTGATGGAATTTTGAAAGAGAGTTTAGTTCTCCTTAAAGTGCGTGAATAACGGTTTTGAATTTAGGTTCATTGAAAATTGGTGCAAGAAAGAC